CAGGCCAGGAGGCACCTACACTCGCTGCTCATCAACCATTCGCTGGCAACTGCTGGGCCAGTTGCAACCGGGCCGCCCAGAATTCACTTGCTGCATTTCACCACCTAGGTCGGCAGGATGCGACGCACATGCAAGGGTCGTCCGCATATTTTCTTGAACACACACAGTCCTTGTGCACACACAGATATACAGATTACCACAAACACTGTTGCTGTGTGTTGTGTGGTTGCGTAGTTGGGCTACAAAGCCCCGCATGACTTGGAGAGCCTTGTTCCCGCTTGTACGGCGTCCGATGCTGTACTGTACGGCGTGCCGTTCAGGCAGGCCTCACGTCCGCGGTCGTGCCCGAGTGGTTAAGGGGTCTGACTTGAAATCAGATGGGATCTCCCGCATAGGTTCGAATCCTGTCGACCGCGTCCAGCCCTCCAACGGGCTACTGCCAGGCGCAGACTCTGACATGCACAGACATGGAGTGCTGAATCCGTAGCGGCCCAGGCGGCAGTGCATGGAAACAGTTTTACTTGCTGAGCAGCGCGGCAAAGCGCTTATACAAGCAAGAAAGCGATACACGCTGACATGGGACTGATCTTCGATTCTGTCAAGGAGCATGGAGGTAGGTGCGAGTGGCAGAAATTGTCGTCTGGCAGAAGCGAAGCTGGTGACAGAGCAGAGGGAGGCAACTGGTGGACAGACAGACACACATGTCCCACACACACACACACACACACACAGACAGACAGACAGACAGACAGACAGACCCCCACCGCCAAGCCAGCCAGCAGATGCGTGCTCATGCACTCCACAGTCATCCGTTCTGCAAGCTGCTTGCCAAGCAGTGTAGCCATGCCATGGCCCGTGGAAATGTACTCCCCTGAAACGAGAACTCTCCTTTCAAGCCTCAACATTTAGACACATGTAGCCCAAAACAGACAGGAAAGCGAAGGGAGTGTAAACAAGGCCAAGGCAGGCACCTACACTCGCTGCTCATCAACCATTCGCTGGCAACTGCTGGGCCAGTTGCAACCGGGCCGCCCAGAATTCACTTGCTGCATTTCACCACCTAGGTCGGCAGGATGCGACGCACATGCAAGGGTCGTCCGCATATTTTCTTGAACACACACAGTCCTTGTGCACACACAGATATACAGATTACCACAAACACTGTTGCTGTGTGTTGTGTGGTTGCGTAGTTGGGCTACCAAGCCCCGCATGACTTGGAGAGCCTTGTTCCCGCTTGTACGGCGTCCGATGCTGTACTGTACGGCGTGCCGTTCAGGCAGGCCTCGCGTCCGCGGTCGTGCCCGAGTGGTTAAGGGGTCTGACTTGAAATCAGATGGGATCTCCCGCATAGGTTCGAATCCTGTCGACCGCGTCCAGCCCTCCAACGGGCTACTGCCAGGCGCAGACTCTGACATGCACAGACATGGAGTGCTGAATCCGTAGCAGCCCAGGCGGCAGTGCATGGAAACAGTTTTACTTGCTGAGCAGCACGGCAAAGCGCTTATACAAGCAAGAAAGCGATACACACTGACATGGGACTGATCTTCGATTCTGTCAAGGAGCATGGAGGTAGGTGCGAGTGGCAGAAATTGCACTTCTGCTGCAAAAGGGTTCGCCCAGGACGCCATCGTCGTTGGGAAGGGCGAACTGGTGCAGAGGAGCAAGACACACATGTCCCAAAACAGACTACACACACACACAGACAGACAGACAGACAGACAGACAGACAGACCCCCACCGCCAAGCCAGCCAGCAGATGCGTGCTCATGCACTCCACAGTCATCCGTTCTGCAAGCTGCTTGCCAAGCAGTGTAGCCATGCCATGGCCCGTGGACATGTACTCCCCTGAAACGAGAACTCTCCTTTCAAGCCTCAACATTTAGACACATGTAGCCCAAAACAGACAGGAAAGCGAAGGGAGTGTAAACAAGGCCAAGGCAGGCACCTACACTCGCTGCTCATCAACCATTCGCTGGCAACTGCTGGGCCAGTTGCAACCGGGCCGCCCAGAATTCACTTGCTGCATTTCACCACCTAGGTCGGCAGGATGCGACGCACATGCAAGGGTCGTCCGCATATTTTCTTGAACACACACAGTCCTTGTGCACACACAGATATACAGATTACCACAAACACTGTTGCTGTGTGTTGTGTGGTTGCGTAGTTGGGCTACCAAGCCCCGCATGACTTGGAGAGCCTTGTTCCCGCTTGTACGGCGTCCGATCCTGTACTGTACGGCGTGCCGTTCAGGAAGGCCTCACGTCCGCGGTCGTGCCCGAGTGGTTAAGGGGTCTGACTCGAAATCAGATGGGATCTCCCGCATAGGTTCGAATCCTGTCGACCGCGTCCAGCCCTCTAACGGGCTACTGCCAGGCGCAGACTCTGACATGCACAGACATGGAGCGCTGAATCCGTAGCGGCCCAGGCGGCAGTGCATGGAAACAGTTTTACTTGCTGAGCAGCGCGGCAAAGCGCTTATACAAGCAAGAAAGCAATACACGCTGACATGGGACTGATCTTCGATTCTGTCAAGGAGCATGGAGGTAGGTGCGAGTGGCAGAAATTGCACTTCTGCTGCAAAAGGGTTCGCCCAGGACGCCATCGTCGTTGGGAAGGGCGAACTGGTGGAGGAGCAAGACACACATGTCCCAAAACAGACTCACACACACACACACAGACAGACAGACAGACAGACAGACCCCCACCGCCAAGCCAGCCAGCAGATGCGTGCTCATGCACTCCACAGTCATCCGTTCTGCAAGCTGCTTGCCAAGCAGTGTAGCCATGCCATGGCCCGTGGACATGTACTCCCCTGAAACGAGAACTCTCCTTTCAAGCCTCAACATTTAGACACATGTAGCCCAAAACAGACAGGAAAGCGAAGGGAGTGTAAACAAGGCCAAGGCAGGCACCTACACTCCCTGCTCATCAACCATTCCCTGGCAACTGCTGGGCCAGTTGCAACCGGGCCGCCCAGAATTCACTTGCTGCATTTCACCACCTAGGTCGGCAGGATGCGACGCACATGCAAGGGTCGTCCGCATATTTTCTTGAACACACACAGTCCTTGTGCACACACAGATATACAGATTACCACAAACACTGTTGCTGTGTGTTGTGTGGTTGCGTAGTTGGGCTACAAAGCCCCGCATGACTTGGAGAGCCTTGTTCCCGCTTGTACGGCGTCCGATGCTGTACTGTACGGCGTGCCGTTCAGGCAGGCCTCGCGTCCGCGGTCGTGCCCGAGTGGTTAAGGGGTCTGACTTGAAATCAGATGGGATCTCCCGCATAGGTTCGAATCCTGTCGACCGCGTCCAGCCCTCCAACGGGCTACTGCCAGGCGCAGACTCTGACATGCACAGACATGGAGCGCTGAATCCGTAGCGGCCCAGGTGGCAGTGCATGGAAACAGTTTTACTTGCTGAGCAGCACGGCAAAGCGCTTATACAAGCAAGAAAGCGATACACACTGACATGGGACTGATCTTCGATTCTGTCAAGGAGCATGGAGGCAGGTGCGAGTGGCAGAAATTGCACTTCTGCTGCAAAAGGGTTCGCCCAGGACGCCATCATCGTTGGGAAGGGCGAACTGGTGGAGGAGCAAGACACACATGTCCCAAAACAGACTCACAGGCAGTTTTGGATGCTGCCTTCTGGCTGTTCAGGCGGCCGACAAACCCCACCAAGCCTCGTATGGGTGCCTGGTTAGACAGCAGTACAGCTTCATGGCCGGAACATGTGCAAGATGTTCCTGCGGGTCAGCCTCTGCCCACTGCTCCTCTAGCGGAACAGATCCGAGTCGCCGAACAGCTTGATGCTGCTGTCAAACACAACATGCCATCGTGTGTCTGCACCTGCTGCAGTGAGATGAAGTCCGTGGTACAGGCACACGGCTACCGGTTTGGTGACATCCCCAACGTGCACCAGTTGCGTTCAGATGTTTGGAGGATGCTGGCAGTGGCGCGTCCAGCTCAAGTTGTCGCACGGCTACCAGTGGCAGCCGCACCAGGGGGCAGAGCACCACCACCGCCTGAGCCAGCTTTGCCATGGGGCTTCCGAAAGACGTGGCTCAATGGGCATTCTACGGAGAAGACGGGGCTCACCAAGCACCCTGGTACGACAGGGGACTCTGGTGGTTCGGATGACCAGGAGCACCGCCAGCCCACCCAGCAGCGCAGTTCGTTGCAACAGGCGCGGGACCATTTGGGCAACACTGGAGCATACGGCTTCCCGGAGGACTTTCCGCTGCATGAGGCAGGCCCATCTAGTGTGCCACGGCGGTGTTGGCGTGAGACGGATGGTGTTGACGACGAGCAGGAGTCTATTCTTTCCGATGAAGAAGCGGAAGTGGATGCGACACGGCCACAAGACGCGGACGGCCAGCATGAGGAATGGATGCTCCCTTCATGGCCGCCACGACCTGGCATGGAGCCACGGCCAGATCCCACTGCTCCGGGTGTGTGGCTAGTGCCGTACTGCATGTGTGTGGAGCTCTCTGGGGAGAATTGTACGGTGCACAACAACAAGGCTGGCGACGACATCATCATGATGTGCAACGACTGCATTCATGCCTTGGAATGTAAGCACTAAACACTGCTACACCCGAAGTGTGCTTGGAACGCTGCACCCAGCACCTTGTGGCGGGTGTCGTGGGGTCCTGCACCCACACACACACACCGACACCTGCAAACGCTTCGGCTGTGCAGGCGTGGATGGAGACTGCGGCATGGCCTACCCACGCCACATCCGGTGTGAGTTCAAGTGGGTGGGCGACAGCGGCCTGTTTGTTCTGCCCCGATATGGCCCCAACATTGTGCCCCATTGCCCCGCTGTCACAATGGTGCTGGGCTGCAACAACGTCTTCATGCTGGCCTGCGAGCTCGACCGTCAGTACACCGCAACAGTGGAGAAACAGCTTGTACTGCCGGTCCCCATGTGTGACCCCGAGGTCCTGGAGGACATCCTTGTGCAAACAGAGGTTGTGGCCCGCCGAACCATGCACTATGCCACCAAGTATGTCGCCAAGGCCACGTCGCAGTGCCCACACTCCACAAAGAACCCCCTCAATGTCCACACCCTCGACGACCAGGGCAGGGAGACAGTCCTCAGGGTGCGATGTCACAACGTCCCTCTCAGAGACGCCTATGCTGTCACGGACTTCTTTGTCCAGGGGTGCAGTTTCAAGGATGACTGCTGGATCGTCGACCTCTGCCCACCGCCAACTGGCATCAAGTGTGCATGCCTCTTTGTCATCCTCATGCGCTACAAGTCCATGGACCATATCCGCCTCCTGCACCCGCTCTACAACAACGCCTATGAGAAGGCACAGGTCATCAAGGCATTCACCAAAGCAGCCACCATCCACCCGGACCTCGACGCAGAAAGCAAACTCCAGACCGCTGCTGCACAACGTACCCGGGAACGATACACAGCACTCTTCCAGGAAGCACAGCGACTCGTCGACAGCCGGACCGCGAACCGCCCACCACCGCGCTGACAACAACATTACAACACCCATAGCGCAGGGAAGAGTGAAGCGGAGGGAAGGCATCTCGGAATCGCGTCCATGACTGGCTCGCGTCCGGGGCTCGTGGAAAGACGTTCGGGTTCGAGTCGCACACCGCGAATTTCGAGTTGCACACCAGTTGCTATTTGTTGACTTAGATACGACGGAGCGAAGCGATCGGAGTCTCTAAGTCCGGTTCTGTGCGACTGTCGTACAACCGTATTGGAATGGCGAGTATTAATTGCTTCAGCTCTTTCGTTTCAGGCATTCTGCCTTTCACTCAGTAGAGCTTCAGCTTGTAGCTGACAGCTTTTTTGGTGTTCAATCTCGGATAGAGCATCGTGCTCGCCATCGAAGCCCTACCTAGTCATCACCTTCTGTTCAAGTTCCTGTATTCTTTCGTTCTGATGTCGACTTTGAACAACGAGCAAGTGCAGCAACGGCAAGGTACGGCCGCCCAAGATGGCGCCAATATGGTGATCAATGCTACCACCGGCTTTGCGGGTCCCTCCACCAGCGAGGCTGGTGGCATCACTTCCCAACCGACCTTCTCCACCAGCCGGCAGCTCCGCCACGGGAGCGGTGGTGGTTACCACCGCAATCCAGCAGAACATCACCCCACTCCAGCAACAGATGGCGGAACAGAGTCAGCTTTTGGCCTCCATGGCCAAAGTAATAACAGCTGGCCAAAATCCGGCAGCCACTGTTCTGTCGCCAGCCCAGGCGGCAGCGGCATCGGTCGCACCGGACAAGGCAAAAAGAAGTAAGGAGAAAAGGAAGAAGAAGGAAGACAGCTCAAGCTCACGTTCCTCATCAAGCAGTGACGATGAGGCTCGGGAGAGATTGTGGCGCTTAGTGGACCGTATCAAGGCGCAACAGCCCACCGACCCGTCCCGTTCCAAAAAAGAGGGGGGTCCTTGTGAAGCAGCTGCCCGCATTTCCAAAGCCCGTATGGTGTTGGATTGTAAGTTGCCCAAGTACGTTTGCGAGGAAGAGAATGTGGCCAGGCTGGAGAGGAAAGTGCAGTGGCATATTGGAATGTGAGATTAGCGTAAGCGAGTTACAGGGCGTTTTATTGCACGGGCGAATTTACGTGCAAATCTTTCACCGTAGCATCAGTCCTCAGTTCACTTCTTGGAACGAACATGAGCATAGGTGCAAGCCCTCTCGCTTGGAGGGATATGCAAACAAACATCCTGATAGGGGTAAACTCGCACGCTACCGAGCATTCAACCGAGCACATGCATGCTTAGTTGAATGGTGAGATGCGACCCCCCCTTCATTTCGTGCTCGGCAAGCCTGCCACCGCGTACCGGATATGTTGGCGATGTTACAGAACGCTGCACCTTGGTTTCTGTGCGCATTGCGTACGTTGCTCGACCCCGCCGACCAAAACTACACGTGCCCAACTGAAGACATTCCCGGTGGTTGTGCAGCAGCTCTTGAGGCTGTTGCTGGCTGAAATCCATCCTGAGCTGTTGCAACACGGCTAACGCGGGCACGTCCCTATGCACAGCAAATAGCTGTTCCAAGCCAACGGCGGCGTCCATGTCACCGACAAGGCTCTAAACGTCTTATCTGTTCTTATGTTTAATTAAGTTTATGCATGTTATACTTTGCGCAACTTTGTAATTTGACTTTACTCTGAACAAGGTGCTGCATACAACTGCCTCTTCGCCAGCGCTTCATCTTCCGCGGCAGTTTCACGAGCCCAGAGTTGCAAGCTACGACGTTGGCTTTCGGTGCTTTTATTTACTGCAAAGCATCCACGCAATAGTCCAGCGTGCGGCTATGGCCAACATGCCCACCTGCGCAACGCGCTGGCGCACCTGGTCCTCATCCGCCAAAAAAGTTTATATACACTTGTACAGGCGCATTTTGAGAATCGCACGCGCGCATCTGCGCGGCAAAATTCGCTCCTGGCTTTTTGGGGACGAGTGTACTTAGGCTTTATTCGCGAAGTACGACCGGACACATTTGTGCGAGGGGCTGCTTAAAGAGGGGGGTCCTTGTGAAGCAGCTGCCCGCGTTTCCAAAGGCTGTATGTTGTTGGATTGTAAGGTGCGCAAGGACAAGAGCTAGGAACGGAATGGGGCCAGGCTGGAGAGGCAGGTGCAGCAGCAGAATGGAATGTGATGTATGCATACGAGGCTTACATGGCGTTTGGCGCACGGCGTAATGTACTTGCAGTCAGTCGTTGCGGGCGCGAGTATGCTAGAAGCACAGGAACCACAACCGGAAGAACAAGAACAGCAGCACAGCAACAGCGCGCGCACAGGACACGTCTCATCGTTTCCGTGCTACGAAGGAGGAACAAAGGAGAAGTCGTAGAGGAAAGATCCCTGTCGCGCGTGGATGGCCATGCCAGAACAGGCAACATGATGGGTGCTTTGCACGCTGCCAACTTGCCCCCGAGCACTCGAGGAGCGGACATACGAAGGAGCGCAACAAGCCCCCCCCTATCCTCAAACCTCACACAATAGACCATCGCAAGCGCTGCTGTCCGCAAGGGCAGCAGCTTCCGTTCACACACGAGTTAAGGTCGGACAAGTATGCAGCGTGAATGAAGGCCTAAGGGCGATCGTGCCCTAATGAAACAGCACTGCTCAAGGTCGGGAAGCCTAGTGCTGAAATCGCGGGACCCAATCCGTCAAGCGTGAGGCGTGCAGGTGCTGTGTGGGCTAGGCGAGCGTGGCTGGGGCGTCATCATCATCGTCTGTGACTGTGACGGTGGTGGGCGTGTGGGTGCTGCCTGCATGTCGCCGCCTCATCACGTAGAAGGCCGGGCTGGCGGAAGGCGGCCCGCACAGCACATTGTAGCCGCCCGGCCCCCGAGCCTTGAACTGCGCGATGTAGAAGGCCTCCATCCGTTGGGCCAGTGCAGGATTGGCGGTGGACATGAGGCGCGTGAGCGAGAAGTGGTCATGGAAGGGTTGGTAGCGGCTGGCGTCCTCCTTCATCCGGCTGGGTGGGTTGCGGGCATGAGCTTGGAAGCGACGTTGAGGGTCCCGGGACTGGCCGACGTACACTCTGCCGGTGGGAGCGCACGTGATGGTGTACAGTCACGTGCGGGCGGGGGCACTGGAATCTGGCTCGGCGGGGCTGCTAGCGGCTCGCTTGGCTGGCGTGGTTGTGGTCAGGAGGGCGCCCGACGCTCGCGCCTGCTGCGCGGCCGTCAGCACCGAGCGCGCGAAGTCCTGGTCGGCCTTGAGGACGGTGCCCGCGTCCATGCCGTAGTCATAGATGAGCTCTATGGCGGTATCTGCCCGCAGGCTGCCGGCAGCCGCGATCCACAGCTGCATGACCTCTGCATGCGTCGCCATCACACGGTCCGGCATGTCGCCTTCGTGTATTGCTGCCGTGATGTTGTACAAGAACGCTGCAGGGGCATGGAGGGAGGGAGGGTGGATGTGAGGTCGGCGGGATGTCGGGACGGAAGTGGAGGCATGGAGTGGCGAGGCGTGACAGGAATGGATGCTGTGGCCACATGGCCGGACAGTTGGAGAGCGGGCACGGGGGACGGCAGCGGGTGCAAGCGAGGAATGGGCGGCAAGGCAGCAGGACTTACTGCTGGCGGGCTTGGCGTCGTGCTGCGCCAGGAAGTCGTCCCTGTACTTTCGGGCCTCGGCCAGGAGCACGTTGAACTCGGCATTGGTGTGGTTGGCGTGCAGGACGTCCTCTGCGTGACATCCCATGCTTCCCAAGAGCAGCTGCTGCCTGACGGTACGAGGGGCAGCAGCAGGGCGTGTCAGGATGGTGGATGCACGGGACAGGCGGAGGGGTGCGTGGGCGCGCAATGGCAAGCGAGCTGTGTGGCAGGGTGCGGCGCGGCAAGGCGGCAACTAGCAACGGAAGATGAGGCGCATACTTGAAAGACAGCGGCCGTCTCGGCACCCCGGATGGCGTGGAGCGATCGCGGCCTCCGCCTGTTGGCGATGCCGCTGCTAGTTGCGCCCACAGGTCGGCGATGTGGACGGGCGGCTTGGCTGATGCGCCGGCGGAAGAGCCCGACGGCAGGCTCGGCGAAGGCGCGCCGTAAGCGCCCAAGTTGGTGGGCGGAAGGGACTGTTGCGGGAGTTGGGATGGGCGAGCCAGTTTGGGAGGCATGTTGATCGCGGTTACCAAAGTAGAACTGGGTCCAGCGAAGCGAGAGGCTGGCTGGCTGCCAACCACGAAAGCGAGTTCGGTATATAAGCTAAAAAGTGTAAACAGGAGAATGTATGGAAGAGAAGGCGACCCAGGCCTGCATTTATACAAGTCGCGGCACCGTACGAACCGGACGCTTCAAGGGGGCGGGCTGAATCGGAAGGGCGCCGAAGCGCGGTCATTACGTCTTCGCAGGGTGTGCATGGGCGTCGGCAGCTGCGGTAACGGGTGCGGCGCTGGGAGAAGTGGAATGCGGCAATGAAAAAAGCGCCATGGAAATGGCAGGCGGACAAGCGGAAATGTGAAAGCGGCGTGTTGCTCCCAGCACTGCGAAAAGCTGATGCATTCCAGGAGCGGCGTGCAGCTCGCCCGCTCAGTTGTGAACGCGAGGTCGGACAGGATCGGGGTGTAAAGTATGGAATGAATCAAAGTGCGCTAGGTGGTGAGGAGACGGGACTGGGGACATGGTGCTGACGGCGCTGCGCAAGTGCATGGACGTGAATAATCTTTCGGAAAGGGGCTATGTTATGAAGCGCGAGAGATGCTCGCGGCCGGCGAAAAATCCCCGGCCGGCCAGCCAAGACGGAATCGTTCATATTCTTGGAAATGCACGTCAACTCCAGCCGGACGAAAGATGCAGGATGTCGGCTAGTACGCGCAATATCCAAATCGTAATTGCAAACCGCACAATAAATGTGATTTGCGGAAAACGCCAGGAGCCGCGACGCCGTGATTCGCGCCGTGATTCGGGGCGGGCACATGAAAGGGTGGCGCATGCGTGCAGCGGTTCGAAGGACCGGCGAGGAGCAGGATGTCACGAAAGTTGTCCATAGCGACGGGTGTGCGGCCGGTTGTCGCGGTCCATACGAAAGAGGAAAATAACGCCAAACGGCTGTGCGCCCGCTGGCAGAAAGACGAACCGACCCGGCGAGCTGCGGGCGACACTGGGAAACGTACGCGGCGCGCGGGCCGGGGTCGTAGCTGAAATGCCAGGAAAGCCGAAAAGTGCAGTGCAGCAGTTGACGAAAAAGCTTGTAAAGTGGCAAAAGCTCGTAGTGGGAAACAAGCGCAAGGGGTTGTGGCAAGCCGGAACGGCCATGGCTACTGTCAGACCACTAGAACGGGCGCGAGCGCGATCAGGGCACCTGGACACTCCACGCAATGTTAGCGATCCAGAGCAGAACCAGACAATTGGCAAAGAAGCACACGCGGAAGAGAACGATGCGTCGCCGCCATGTAGCTGTGGTGCATGCGACAATGCGCAAAGCGCAATCCGGCCGTGTGCCGGCGGGCAAAGGCGAACAGTTCCAAAGAACTTCCAGCGAGGCGGGCGAATGCCGCAACCGCGGCAACAGCGGGCGTAGCGCCGAGGAGGTGCATTGCGCGAGGTTCAGTGCAGGAGCTGATGAAGAGTGCACATTTAGACGAGATTGTAAGTCGGGCGAAGCGGCGGTAGGGACGTTGCAGAAGGCGGAGCGGCCGGCGGTGCTGTAGTTGCACAGGCAACGCCGGCGGACTCGTCCAGCGACGGAACGCCCGAAAAGGCACTGGACGTAGCGCGGCTTGGAAGTAGCGCGGGGGGCATATAAAATGGGGTAGGCGCGTGACTGAAAAGCCAAAATCAACTGTGTGAGTCGAAGTGTTGTGCCTTTACAGAAAGGAACTAGCGGAGGTGTGTACAGCCTGCTTGTTCGGCGACAGATCTCTGGCACTCCAGCGGCCACCTCGGGCAGTCCTGTGTGGACGACAAGCTTAAACAGCACTTGAAGGAATGGCAGTAAGTAACGTTCGCGGTTTCCAGCGCGCAATTCACCGTTGGGCACACTGGATTGTTGGAGTCGCACGCAAGGCAAGTTGTGAGCAAGCTATCTGTTTGAAATGCTGCAGGCGGTGGCGAACGCGGATCTGGAGCGGCTGGCGCGGCTGGCGTCCGTAATGGACAACTGCGCGACGTCGCTGGCCGTGCTGTGCAAAGTGGTATCAGCGGCTTGCCCAGAGGAGGTGAAGACCGTCCAGTACATCAGACAGGTGCACGCGGAGGACGGGCAGGAGGCGAGGTCGGCGATGAGGGATGTGGCCGCGGCAGCCATGTTCGACATCATCCGGCGGCATGTCCCTCATGGCAGCGCCCTGGCATTCCCGCTCCGGGAATGCGTGGCGTTGCCCAGCGCGCGTGCCAACGAGATTCTGCAGGGGACGCCGGCGGCATACAGCCGCGAGAAGCACGTGCCGTGCGGCATCACGGCCATGGAGTTCATGCGCGGGAGCGTCCTGGGCATCGTCGTGCAGGTGTTGGCCAGCACGCGCGCTTGGGCTGCAGAGCAGGGACTGCTTCGGAGGGCGGAGCATGGTTCGCCCATTGGGGACGGGCTGGTGCTGGCGGGCGGCAGCATTCACAACGCGCTGCAGCCCGCGTCGCAGTGATTGTCGGTGGCGCAGGCCGACGCGGACGTCTTCGTGGTGGGTGCTGTCAGTGCGGCCGCAGGCGCGCACATGGCGGCCCAGTTTTTGGAGGGCCTGGCGCATCGCGTGGAGGTGGTGCAGGACAGCTTGCTGCTGACGGAGCGCACCGTCAGCGCGCTGTACGTCATACCACCAGGTGCGGCTGCGCAACACCATAGCAGCTAACGGGCAGGCAGATGCGGGGGCTCAAGCCGCTGTGTGACATGAGGTCTGAATGTTTGTCAACATCTGAGGGGGAACTTAAACTCCGTCAGCGTCTGCGAAAGTCTGTCCTGTGTTGTGCCCGTGATGCTGTGCTGTGCAGGTTGCGCTGACGCGGGACGTCGTCTTCGGGTGCAGGTGTGCCTTCGCCCGTATTTTTCAACATACCACGTCCTCAACAGCTTCGACTTGTGCGCCTGCAAAGTGGCGGCCCTGCCGACCGGCGCAATCGTGGCCCATCCACGGTGAGTGCGGTGCAGGGGCAAGGGCTGGTGGGGCGGAGCAGGGGCAAGCACGTGAAAGGACGGGGTGGCTTGTGTGCTATACGCTGAGTAGGCACATGTGGCACATTCTGAACATGTGCTGAGACCGTTCATGTTGCCAGGTTTGTGTACGGCTGCGCACGTGGACGGGTGCAGCTGGTGCTGCCGTGCCATCGTCAACCGGCAACTGGGGCGCGCGTTGCCAAGTACTGGGTGCGCGGGTGGCTGTGCGAGGCAATTGACGAGGCCGACGAGGGTGTGCTGCACCCGCCTGCTGGGGCGTCGGAGTCGAGCATGGGCGGCAATGTCGTGGTCGTCCGTCCCACGGCCTGTTCGACGACGGACCTGCTCCAGGTCGCCCTACCGCTCATGACATCGTGGGAGGCAGCTTCGGATGCGGAATGGCGTGTAGGCAAGGTGGCCGTGAGCGTGGTGCATGCCATGATGGGAGCCATGGTGCCGCTGCCGCACGTGAAATGGAAGCACATGGCGTTTAGGTGCACAGCGTGAGGGGCAGCCCGGCAGGAGTTTGGAACTTCTGTTTTGCAGAGAAGGGCGACAGTGTGCAGCAGAGAGGTCATGCGACGGGAATTACCTTTTATACTGTTTATCCTTTTATATTGTTTATGTTCCTATGCCGGAATGCGGTGTTGGGCATGTGTGGGGCGGCATCCGGAACATGTCGGTGTGTCGGGGGCTGGACAGAGCTGCGGAATGCGATAGCTGCGCAGCAGCTGGGTGACATGTTGTAGGGACTTAGGGTGTATTGTTGGATGTTTAGAAACATGTAGGTGCCGCTAGCGTAGTTGCGTGGCCAGCGAACGGGCAGCGGGTGCATCATGTCAGTCCATTGGCGAGGAAACACAGACAGGCATTGTGTGTTGGATGTTTTCACATCGCGAAGCCGCAAACTGTCGAACGCTAGTGTGCGTGTGCAAGGCATGAAGCGCTGTCGTGTGGGCGCCGTGCTCGATGCGGTGGCCGGGCGGCTGCAAGCTGCAGGGACATGGACGTTTGGCTCGACGCCGAATTTCCAACAAAAATGCAAGGAATATATGGCAAGAAGTGGTGTAATGTCAGCGAGTTTGTGGACGCCGGTCGGTGTGGTACGGCGCCGAACATGAAGATCTGATGTGGGGGCGTAGTGGCGAACGGCCCATAATAGGCACGCGTCATATTGAAAGGGACCATGATGCGAAGGCATTGCAAAGATTCGAGCGACCCTGTAAGCGTTTGTGTTCTGCAAGCCATTGACTGCAAGCCATTGCCCTATGCCCACCCCTTTCCATCCCGCAAAAATCTCACCATATGCTCCTCTAAATTTTTTACCACACACCGCCTCCCTTACCACCTATGGTGTACCGGACGGTACATATTCCAAGACACTCTTCGCGCATGCCCGTACATCTCAACACGCACATAACATCTGCCCATGCCGCCGGACACATTCCTTCATGCCATTCCGTCCAGATTTTTTCCTCGTTCAGTGCATCGCTCTTCTGGTCGAGACACCTGGTCATGAGCTACTCGCTACGGAGTCAAGGACGCGATCCTGGCAACACAAGGTGAGACCACTACTGCTCTCAACAGGCATATATATAAAATATCCTGTTACCACGCCATGCAACCTGCAGGCTTGCCTTTTCAAACCCACTATACCGCGCCTCGCTCACTCCTTGCATGCTTCAAACAACGCTGCTTTGCCAGCGTCCTAGCATCACATGCAATACATGTTCGCGACAAAAATCATGCTTCACGTCATGGCAGCCTTGGCCAGCCTCACAGCCACCCCCATTCATTCCTACATGCAGCCGGACACAAACAAACGAACACGGAAATTCTATCTCCGCTGCCAAGCCAGATCCTGCAAACGACGTGTAAGTCTCATGCGTTCAACGGCCATGCAACTATGGGTGTTCAGTTCCACTCCGAACTCATCTCTTCCTTCACGTACAACTTCGGCCTGCCACCCCATTCATCTTCCCAACTGTTACCACTTTTGCACTCACGGACCTTTCCCTTACTCGCATCCATCCCTCCACAGCAACATGCACAACCGCCTCGATGACAACGACAACAACAAATTCGCCATCACCAGACAGGTACGTCTCTAGGCCGTTGACTCAGATGCTCCATCTTAGATCTACAATCCAATAATGCACCTATGGCGCCGCGCCATCCGGGCGCCGAAAGCCACCATAGTCGCGCGGTGCCGGGAGCTGAACGCACCTATCCTCGGGCCACCATGACACCCTATCATACCACGCTTTACTACACCCCTGCAATACGCCAACCCGCCTACCAAACACTCCCAGGGCAAACAAGCGCCAAGAGATCACGGCTGATGACCCGCCAGCCACGCCACTGTCTGCCAGCAGCGCCGGTGCATCAACCACCACCACACAAAACACGCCCAGGTATGATTGCACCTCATGCTGCTCAGCCTGTCCAACCGCCACCCCTAAGCCAACTTGATGCAATAGAACATCGAATGCACCACACGCATCTACACGACTCAACCTGCTCACAGTCGTTCTTTTGCCATAATCATAATGTGGCAACTGCTCATGCCTTCCAATTCCTGCACATGAGCCACCACCTCAACTGTGCCACCACCTCTTGACGCATCCCATTACCAAACAGACGCACCCATGCAGCACACCACGGCCGGATATGAGCATGGTGCTCGCCGCAACCACGGGATCAGAGGACCTGCCAGA